GGCCAGGGCCTGGGCGCTTCCAACCAACTGGCGCAGTGCAACTGCTTGAATTTTCCCCAGTTGCGAAGTTGTCCAAAATAGGCCTCTTGGGGTCTGTCGAGCCTGCCTTCACTTAGGGCGGCCGACGCTGTTGCAAATGGGGCCTAGTAGGGCTTATTGAGGCCTTATGCCTCGCACTAGTCTAACTTTTCTCGTTATTGCCCTTTGCCTTCTCTTTGCTGCATCTCTCAACTGCTGCTGCAGCTCATCATGAAGTGCTTCCACCTGGAGGATCTCATAATCCTCTGGTGTGAGGGGAGACTGCCAACTGACTTGCGAACCAACAGACTGACTAACGGAACCGTGAGAAACACTTTGACTAACCCCTGGCGAAGAGGCCTGGGACGAGGCCTGTGACATGGAGGTGGTAGCCATTGCAGCCTCTAAGCAGGCTGCTGCTGCCCTAGACCTCCGATATGCCTCCCTCTCCCTGACTTCCCTCCGCAGTCTCCTTTCCTCTGCTGGAGCTAACTCCTGGAAAGTAATTGGACGACTGAGAGCAGTTCTATGTGTAACTCTAAGAGGTTCCACTACTCGTCCTTCCTCCTTACTATGGCTTGCATCACTCATGAGCTACAGTGGTGTGTGGTCTAAACTAGAATTCACACTGAATCCTACCTCAGCATGAGACGCAACCTAGTATGATATTCAACTACTTTCGGTCAGCCCGGAAAGTAGTAGTCAAGTGGTCAACAGCAACTAGTGTTAGATCCTACAGGTGACACTTTTTCTATTTTTAGATTATTCTAAAACAGACTGCAATGCAGCAAGGAATTGTCTAACCTATCTGCAACTGCCTGTCAGTTGTCACCAAGTCCGTACAGCTAAATAATCAAAAGTAAAAAATAGTACACTTGTGGAGATGTATGCTGGATGGCAGTTTATCTTGTTAGCACCACAGTGAACAATTGCTGGAATCTCCCCTCTCCCTGTATCCCTCTTGAGTAGTCTCTTTGTGTCAACGCCCTGAGCATCTGGTTGAGCAACGTGTCTGAAGGTGTGCAATCCGGCCCACCCCTGTGTCCCAAGTCTATGCTATGCCTGCCAGCCCCTGCACTTTGTTTCCCCTCGCATGCAACGAGCCTTACTTCCGGTTTGATCTGGCTGATCAAGAGGCAGTTTAAGGACAGCCCCCAAGGTCCTCAGGAATTATTTAACGTCGCAGAAAGGACGACGATCACATCCAGGGTTCAAATCCGGAACCCGCCAGAAATGTTTATAGACGGTCTCGTAAGCGTCTGTCAAAGGCCTGGCATGCCCAGTATGACCTCTATTGCGCAGCAGCAGAACCAAGGACTTGCGGCAAAGCATGCGTGTACTAGTCTTTGGGTTGGCATGGTCACAAAGTGGTTCGTCCAGGGCCCTTCAGAGGCTGTTGGGGTGTTAGCAGCGGTGTTACAGCAACCATGGCTATGTCGAACGGGGGGGTGAACTAGGAGAAGAGGAACGAGTAGGAGACATTTACAAAGGAGACGACGACGGAGAATCAGGCTGTGGCTATGACTGCTAGATGGGGAAGAAGGGAAACACCTGAAGAGGAGGGAGGGTATGAAGAGGAGAGGAGGAAGAACATGAAGAAGAGGGGCGGAAGAAAAAGGGGAGAAGGAGAAGAAGAAGACGCGGAGGAGGAGAAGACTAGGAGGTGGATGAGGGGTAGGGGTTTGCGTGACGATGGCGGGTGGGGCGGGTGTCAGTGTCGACGGGCGAGGTGGATTTCTCGTAGTTTTCTGTAGAGGAAAAAAGAAAAAACGAAGGGGAGTGGAGGAGGAAAAGCTCAGAAGTGGAAAGGAGGATGACGAAGACGAGGAGGAGGAGAAGATGCACGAAGAGGAGAAGAAGAAGAAGACACAGAGTAGGAGAAGAAGAGTAGGAGGTGGAGGACAGGGAGGGGTTCGCATGACGACGTGGGGTGGGGGACGTGTCGGTGTCCACTGGACAGGTTGACTTTTCGTAGTTTCCTCCGAAAAAAGGATGGGGAATGGAGGAGGAAAAGATGAGAAGAGAAGAGGAGGACAAAGAAGAAGAGGAGGAGAAGAACAAGAGGAAGAGGAGAAGAAGAGTATGCGGGGGAGGAGGGGGAGGGGGTTGCCCGACGACAGGGGGTGGTGTTGACGGGCGCGGTCGACGTTTCCCTGGGGAAAACAAAAAAAAGTGGAGGAGGAAAGGATGAGAACAGGAGAGGAAGAAGAAGAAGCGGAGGCGGAGGAGGAGAAGAAAAGAAGATGCAGAGGAGGTGAAGATGAGT